ATTCACGTGACTTTAATAACATTTCTTACTTAATGGAAACACTGCAGCTGTGAAACTGTGTTTTTCGACATTAACAAAATATCGACAAAGTTTTGCGCACATTTGCAATGGAAACACAGCTACTTTCATATTGGACTAAAACGCATTGGGACGTGTATCTACATTGTCTTTTCATTGGAAGAATAAATTCACAGTTAAAATGTTTCACATAAATAATAAAAAGCAAACTTAATTTGGGTTAAGCTCCAATCTGTACTTGTAGCTGCATTTTTTTGCAGCATAAATTTCAACAGCTAAGTTGCTAAACTCACTTTTAAAAACAAATTCTTGGGTCTGTAATGAGTTTCCAAACTACGCCGACTCGTTAAAAAAAATTAAAACTCCACATCTTCGTTTCTGTTTTTAGTTTGCTCTCGGCGCAATGAATTCTGGAATATCCTCGGCCGGTGAGGATGCACGGACGCATCCTCGGATTTTGAGGTTTTGTGGGCCGACAAATGAGCACTCATGAGCATGCAGCCCATGAACTGAGACACAGCCACTGAGTGAAAGGTTGGGCTGACCTTTATAAGCTCCCTCATGTGGTCTGGCTCTACTCATTGGTGGGTGTTGCAGTTCCAGGTTTGCTCCAGCCACTTATCAAGGTAAACCCTGAAGGTTTTTCAGGAAGTCCACAAGCAGAGGGAGGCAGCCAATCAGCATCTGAAGCTGGAAACTTCAGAAACAAGTCTGCAGACGTTGAGCTTAATTTGGTTGTGTTAGTAGCTGAAAGTCATCTTCAGTACACATTCTGAGCACTAGCTTTTCTCATTGCTATCAGAATAACATAACTGACACCAGTAGTATAAAATCTCATGAGTGTAATCACTGAATGCACATCTACAACTGATTAACTTTTTGGTATTAAGCCAATTCAAAATGACTGTCACAGCCAACTGACGTCCAAAAAGTTATTCAGCCACTTTTTCAAATATATAGCCAAAGGTATGGTTTACTTCTTGTTTAGCATCATTCCTAACAGATATTTAGAGCTCTTCTCATTATTCACTAGCTCTTTGATCTTTTCAAATAGCTTTTATTTTTACTTAAACACTGACATTCATTGTTGGTGTCAACTAGTCTGTTAGCAAAATGTCTCATGACCATTAGATGTATTTTATTGAGACTCAAAGCAATTATTGGGTTTACTTCAACATTTAGGTCCACGTTCCTACCCTCATCCATGGTCAGGAGCTTTGGGTAGTGACTGAAAGAAGGAGATCACAGATCCAAGCAGCTGAAATGAGTTTCCTCTGCAGGATGTCTGGGCTCTCCCTTAGAGATAGGCTGAGAAGCTCAGTCATCCAGGAGGGACTCAGAGTAGAGCCGCTGCTCCTCCACGTCCAGAGGAGCCAGTTGAGGTGGTTCATCTGGTTAGGATGCCTCCTGGACTCCTCCCTGGTGAGGTGTTCTGGACACGTCCCACTGGGAGGAGACCCAGAGGAAGACCCAGGACACGCTGGAGGGACTATGTTTCTCAGCTGGACTGGGAACACCTTGGGATTCCCCCAGAGGAGCTGGTCCAAGTGTCTGGAGAGAGGGAAGTCTGGGTCTCTCTGCTGAGGCTGCTGCCCCCGAGACCTGACCCTGGATAAGAGGAAGAAGATGGATGGATGGATGGATGGATGGATGGATGTCAACATCTCATTTATTTTGGAGTAAACCCAATTCAAAGTGGTCGCCCAAGCCTATCGACCGTAGAAATTTTTTTTAAAGTTTACAGTATATCTCAACGTGTTTTTCAAACAGGGAGCTAAAAGCTAGTTTGGTCATAGCTGAAGCCAGGTACACACCAAATGCGTTTTGAGCAGCCGAAGCAGCCAGTTTACATGCAAAGCCTATGGTGGCCGCACATCTAGGAGCAGCGCAGCGTGTTGCGGCGCGTTTTGTCAGTTCATAGCAGCGTGCAATGTAGCGGTAGGATGCGGCAGAGCATTTTCCACACATGCAGTACGTCCAAAAGCAGCGGCTGCTGGAGTTCAACAAATTGAACTTTGGCTGCTCAACGCGCAGCAGCAACCAATCATGAGAGAATTTTTTTCACGTGACGGTTTCATGAACCGACACAGACTGACAGGAGCCGTTTTAGCTGAAATCGACAGTCTGCAGTTGGTGTTCTCGCTGGAGTTATCAGCACCGATGTGATGAAACAGCATTTCACTGAGCTCGGGACAAAAACAGTCCCTCAGCTCCTGGAGAGGCGAAACTTAACTGAACAAACCACCTCTAAATTAGCTGCCTAATTAATTATCTGCTGTGCGCAACCTTCGCTTGCGCTTTAGTAAATAAAACGAAGCCATTTTATTTATTTTATCTTTATTTCACCCGTCATTAAAGACAGTCTGGTCCCGGTCTGAAAAAAAAAAGCTTGCAGGTCAGAGCGCCTCTTATCTGGTGAATTAATTATCTGCTGTGCGTAACGTTCGCTTGCTCTTCAGTAAATTAAGCAACGCCGTTTTATTTATTTTATCTTTATTTCAACCGTCAACAGACCGGAAAACTAACAAAGACGCTTCTCCCACTGCACGTCTTCAGACGCGTTCGGTGTGAACGGACAGCTTTTGACAAGCATGGGGCACGAGCATCTTGGTAGCCCCAAACGTGTTTGGTGGGAACCCTGCTTGAGAGTTAGTTTGGTAATAGTTGAGAGTCACAACACATACTCACAGTGCTGCCAGATTATGCAACACATCACAATATATGTGAGATTTTACATATTATTATTTTCAGGTTTGGCCAAAAAACTAACTCTGTCATTTATTTCTATAATAAAACTTTATATAGGTAAAGGTCTGGCATAAAAGGTGACAGGAGATAATCATTTTCTTAAGAAATGTCAGGCCTTTAATTCATTTGGTCTTTTGTCAGGGGAAACCTGGAGAGAAGGGAGAAAAGGGAGAACAAGGAAATCCAGGAAACACGGTAAAGCAATGTTGTTGTTGCCATTTTTATTACCCAACTCCAGTTTGATGTTTAGTTTGTTCAGATATCACTAGATGTAAATGGATGTTTTGGACTCACCTGTGAAGTCCTGAACTCAAGTGTCTTTTGGGTTTGATAAACAATCATAAAAATGTTCTCATTAAGGATTCTTTGACGTTTATCAATGTTAAATATCTTATTTGACTGTTTCTCGTCTTGAAAGGGTCTAAAAGGGTTACCCGGTGAACGAGGTTTGGAAGGACCTCCAGGACCAGCTGTAAGAAACCTATGAAACACCTTGGTCTTTTTTAGGTGTTTAAAGTAAAATGTTTCTGATTTGCTGAATTGGTTCCAGGGTCCAAAGGGAGACACAGGTCTTAACGGGGAGACAGGACGGGTTGGAGATCCCGTAAGTCATGTGGTGGAATCAGATTCATGTTTACAGCAGGAGGGCAGATGTGTTGTACTAATCAAACTTATTCTATCAGGGTCCACCAGGAACTCCAGGTCCTCAGGGAGCCCAAGGTTTACCAGGAAGTGTGGTAAGTCTATGTGTTTAAACTTATTGCCAATTAGCCTGTTAGCATTGGCTGGAGCTCTCTGCTGGACTTTGTTGGCAATTTCAGAGTAAAACTACCAGTCATTTGTTTTCCAGGGTATACCAGGGATCATTGGGCCTCCTGGTCCAGCTGGACAGAAAGGAGACAAGGTCAGTATCCAGATTTTAAAAGCCAAACCGATTTCTAGATGGATGTCTGTACATTTTTAACTTAATGTAATCTGAATCCTTCCTAACAGAGTCTCACCAAGACGAGTCTTTCACATTCTGTTTCTGTCACATTATATTTAAATAGTGCAGCACAGAGTTTGACATAATTCAGACTCCTTCAATGGTCCATTTGGTGTGTTCATTTGCATGTAGCATTAACAGTAAATCTCAACCAGTAAAATGATTTTAAGATCTCAGAAAACAGTCACTGGATATACTGTATGTCTACAACTGAATAACTTTCAATCAGAATCAAGTTGGCAACAACAGTTAACTGGCCTTGCAACCCCCCAAATGGCCAAAACATAACCAGTATTATTA